TTTGTCATTCTACATGTTTTCTTTTTAAACATTTAAAACTGTTACTCTGAGAAAGGTCCCCAGGGCTTTGCCAGTCTGCCAGAGGGGTCCATGCCACAGAAAAGGTGAACCACCTCCCCACCAGTCCTAAATCAGTATTTAGTCTAACTCTCCTAGGTGGTAGCTGGGAAAACAATCGGCTCCGAGGGGAGCAGGGACTGGCCATGTTTCAGCAAGCCCTGACCTCCATGGACTTGGTTCTATTTTCTGGAAGCAGCTCCCAGCACCCCCAGTCCCCACACAGAGGGGAGGATGCTCCTCAATGCACCGGCTTGGAGGAGGGTTCCTTACTTCAGACACGGCTGAGGCAAAGCTGCACCCACTCTGAGGGTTACTAACACCCTCTGGTGAATCCATGGTTCTGGGGAGGTAAGGGGCATTGTTGAGGCCTCTCAGAAGGGAATGGGATGTTCTACTCAAGGGAGAAGACTAATTCCAGCCTCACCGTGTCCCTGTCTGTGCCCGGGGCAGCTTCCTTGGATAGGCGTTACAGACAGCCTATCTGTGTGAATGAAAACACTGCGGCCATAGCAGTAAACAGAGGATGCTGCGGCCATCAAGCCATCACATTAGAGCTGTGAGCCCTGAGGGAACTCAGCGAGAGAGAATACAGGATACTGGCCCCAGACAGTGAGGTGCTTATCAAAGGAATGATTTCAGTGAGCCCAGACTCTTGCATCTTCCCATGTACAGAAAAGCATCAAATTCCTTGAGATACCTGGTTTTCTTCAACGAACAGTAATCTCTTGAGGGTCTGACTACCTGATTTTTGTTGCAAAAACTCCTATATATCCTGGCTTCTCTGGCCCTTGCCTCTTTGGAGCAGCCGCTTGAGTTTTCTGAGATGTTATGTCCTCAGTTCTGTCCACCAAATAAAACACAACTCTCAACTTCTAGGCTGTGAATATTTTTAAAGTTGATATCATACAAATAAGGAGCAACAGAGTGACTGGGCTCCATCGATGGGCTCCCTCCTGCTCGCCCACTAGGGCGGGGCCTGCCCAGCAGAGGAGCTAACCCAACCAGGCTGGACCAGAGGCCGATGCGGTAGGTGGGATGTCAGCCTCTCATCACTTGCTCCCTCTTTCTGGGAAGAGGTGCTTTGACAGTCAGGGATCTCTGCAGCAGGAGGCACCCGAAACAGGCCGGAGCTTGCCCATCCTCCTCTGGCCCCAGATGAGCAGGAAGGCGTGGAGGCCAAGGGGAAGAGGCCGGCGCTACCAAGTGCTGACAGCCATGCCTGCACCCCCTTCTGGCCTGATTTCAGGGAAGACGGCAATGGCCTTAAGAGGCAGGGATCCCACCCCAAGCATCCTTTGACAAGACTGGAGAGCCCCTTTCTAGACACATGAGGGGCCTGGAGGGCAAATCCAGGAGGAAAAGGGCTCTGGTGAAGGCCCTCAGCAGGGCAAGCTCCACGGCACCCCGACCTCAACGACATCTACCCGGTGGCACGACGCTGGCCTTGGCCTCTCAACCCCTTCTCCTCTGCAGTCCTCTGCAGTGCCCTTTGCCAGCCTTAATTTCCTTCCTTCTTTTCTTTTGCTGAGCTGGGTCTTAGTTGAGGCATGTGGGATCTTGACTTGCAGCATGCAACTCTTAGTTGCAGCAATGTGGGATCTAGTTCTCTGACCAGGAGTCAAACCCATGACTGCTGCATTGGGAGCTTGGAGTCTTAGCCCCTGGACCACTAGGGAAGTCCCTGCTGGCCTTTAGAGTATCAACAGAACTGACTCCCGAGTATTCCACACCTGCAAGCCCACCCTGGATCTCACTTGATCTCCACAGCAACCCACAGATGGCTGGTCTTATTAGCCCATTGTACAGATGCAGAAACTGAGGCTTCAAAAGCTTGTCACCTGCCCAAGGTGACACAGCTACCAGTTGGAAGAGTCAACCCTGGCTTGTGAGATTCCAGAGCCTATGCATTTAAAGCCCTCTGCCTCAGGCCTGCCTGCACCAGATGAGGAATTCAAGAAATGTCATGCAGCCCTTTCTTCTTTTACAAAGCTCTCCTGGCCTACATCTTTATGGAGGGTGATGATTCTGTCTGGAGGCGGCAGAAAACTCCCAGGGCTGACTCTCTATTAGACAAATGGAAACTAAACACAATTTGTTGAAGCGGGAGGCTGCATCTGATTTCCTCTGATCGATTGTGTCTGGTTTGAGGGAAAACGGCTGCAGAATGAGCCGTGTTGAACCTGGGATGGATAACCCGTGCAGCACGACCCAGGGACTCTGGGCGAAATGGGAACTGGCTCCAACTGGGGCATCCGTCTGGGGCCTCTGGGTCACAAGAGCCAGCTGCCTGCCGCCCTGCCCGTCTGAGCGCCGCCCTGCCCGTCTGAGCGCCAGAGCAGAGACAGTTTGCTGTGACGGAGGCGGTAACTGTTCAGCAGGCTGGAAGGGAGAAGACGATCCTGAGTCACCAGGGAACGAGCTTTCATTCCAGTTTCTGCTTCTCATTTCCTTGGCCTCCACCTTGTCCCAGGCCCTGGGCTGGCACTTGGGACACAGACAGGAGGAAGCTGAGGTCCCTGCCGGTGGACCCCACCAGCTCCCTTTGTGTTCCGAAGAAAGCACTCAGGAAGAGTTTAAAACAACAGGGTGGGCATTTTAATGGAGATGTGAAAAACATGTGTGCTCCCCAGGGGAAAGAATTTTTGTACGTGAGCAAGAAATGTTTTGAGTTGATGTCCATCTAGATTGTGGGGGTTGTTTGTTACTCAGCATCTCTGCAGCAAAAACTCACTCATACATGGTGGTGTTGTGGGCTTAGGGCCGGGCACTTAGCAGGGAATTAAGTGAGTGTCATTTTGACCCCTTAGGAAGAGGTTCCTTAGGAGGAATGATGCAACCCTTGTTCAGAAACAGAAAAGTAGTGGGAACACAGGGCGGCCATTCCCTGCCGTGCTTCCCCTGGAATATTTTCTAGAATCTCTCGACAGAGAGGACTCTCAGGGTTGGAGGAGGCTTGGGAGCCTGCCTGGGTTTTACTGATGGGACGACAGGCCGGTGGTGGGTGAGGGGCTTTCCCGAGGGCACCGGCATGGTGGATGGTAGGGACAGGGCAGAGGAAGGGGTGTGGGCTCCTGACTTCCAGGATGGGTCTAGTGCCCTGCATTCCCACACAGAGGGGCTTCCAGGAGGAGGTGTGTGTCCTGTGGCCCCGCATGCAGGCAGCGTGGGGCATCTAGCCTGAGACCTGTGTGTGTGTGTGGAGGGAGGGGGTTCCCAAGAGACACTGAGGCCAGGGTTGACCAGACAGCAGGAAGAGCTGACCCCTGCAGAGCCTGTTATCACGTGTCTTAGCAGCTCAGGCTGCACAACCTCCCCAGAAGCTGCCTGAGAATGAACCTGTTTTTGGTTCAAACCCACACTCGTCCAATCTCAACCACCAGTGGCATCTAGGTGCAACTAAGGCAGACCAGTCAGACCATGTCGGCCCCTGTTCCAACTTGCCAACAGCTCCCATCTCACTCAGACACAAGCTCCAAGTCCGCAGCACTAACCCGCCACTGCCCTTCCCCTCACTGCTCCAGCCTCGTGGCTTCCTGGACTTTGCTCAGACACTCCGAGCACCACCTCAAAGCCTTTGCACCTGCTGTTCCCCCCACTAAAAATGCTCTTCCCCCAGCTGAGGGCAGGACCAGCTTCCTTACCTCTTGCAGGTCCTACTCGGGTGTCACTTCCTGACCATGCCCCTTTCCTGTTTCCTATTTTCTCCTTAGCACTTTTCACCACTTAACATACCGTGTATTTCAGTTCTTTATCTGGTTTAGTCTATCACTCCTGCTCTATCTAAATCCCGTAATAGAAAGGATTTCTTTCTTGTTCACCAGTGTATTCCCAGCACCTGAAACTGTACACAGCATGTAGCAATCACTCAATTGAAATTTGCTAGCAGAACAAAAGGAAGATAAGGAGGAAGAGAGTAGAAATAGATAGATGGATAGATAGATAGATAGATAGATGATGCTTAACAAGGATCTGGTTGAGCTCCTTCAGGGAAGAATCACAATCAGAGTGCAGTGTTAACAGCACCAGCTCAGAGGTAAGCAGGCCTGGGTTGGAATCCAAACTCTACCATCCGCTAGCTGAGCAATCTCGAGCAAGTCACTTCTCCCTGAGCCTCAGTTTTCTTCTCTGTAAAATGGAAATCATGGTAGTACTTGCCACATCTAGTTACCAAGAGGATCAAAGAAGATATACTTGGAAAGCATTATCACCGTGCCATGGAGACTCTTGACATATGCCAGCTACCAATATTATTAAGAAAGGCCCAAATTACTAATATGGACCAGGCTCTATGGAGAGCATTAGGGAATCAATGGTGACTCCAAACACAATTGTGCCCTCAAGCACCCCATGGTCAAGGGGGGTAACTGACCAGGCTGGAACATATTATTTTTTGGGGGGAACATATTATTAAATTATGACGACACAGGAGCCATAATAGCAGGAAGCCCAGGGGGCTGAAGGATCCAGAGACTCAAAGTCACCCCCCTTGAGAAGATCAGGGAAGTCTGCTTGGAAGAGGAGGCATGTGAGCTAAGGGCTGAAGCACACACAAGAAATAGCCACGCCATAGGAAGTGGAAAGAACATTCCAGACAGACAGACTGTGTGGCACAGGCAAAGGCCAAGAGGTCTCTTGACAGTTCCACAGCAGAGAACTGTCATCCTCATCTTATAAAACTGAGCTCAGAGAGGCGAAACCGTTTCCTGAGGTCACACAGCAAGGAACTGGCAGAGCTGGGATTTGAACTGAGGGCATTCTCACTGCAGAGCCTGGAAAGCCTGATGGACTGGCAAACAGGAGAGACGGAGAGCGCCCAGAAGAACCAGGTCTCCCCGCGGGGCTGGGTGTAGGTGCACAGAAGTGAGGGCAAGGGCCACAGCCCCCCGCTCCCACCCCAGCTAAAGGAGTCCCACAGCCCCACTCGGCAAGAAGGACGGTACCTCCATCAGGTCTATAAGCCACAGCAGCCGCTCCTGGGGAGGAAGGGTGGGCAAAAGGCAAAAGGAAAAATACATCAAATAAATATAAGGGATGGAGCGGGCACAGCAAACCCCTTCCCAAACACACAAACACACACACACACACACACACACACACACAAAGGCAAAACAAACAAAAACTCCCCGAACTTCTTTTCTCTTCACGGGGACTGCTTTGGGCAGGAATAAAGGAGGGATGAGGCAGACCCCACAAGGACAGTCAGCATGGCTTCATTCTAACTGCTTCCTAGAAGGAAACCAAGGAAGGATACTGTCCTTGAGAAGGGCCGTCAGGAAATGGTCATGCCCCGTGGGGGCAACCCTGGGAGTCTCCAGCAGTTGAAGCTAGGATCGTTATTCCCACTTGGCAGATGGGAAAACTGAGGCTAAGCCAAGGGAAGTGACTTGCCCAAGGTCACATCTGTGGCTGAAAGTCAGAGCCTGAAGAAGTATCTTGTTTGGAAGCCTCCATCAGAGAAGACCTGGACTCCGGGGAAGCCCAGGCCCTGTGTTAGCAGAGAACCTCAGCGCCTGTCAACAGGAGCCCAGGGCCGTGTATGTGGAAGGTGCCCAGCGCAGGATGACATTTGACAGGGCAGTGGCAGAACGTCAGCCCTGTGCTTTCCAGAAGACCTCAAGTGCCTGCAAGGCCCCGGATATAGGGTGGTTACCCCAGCCAGGTTGGGAAACATGGGGAAGAACAGAGGCTTCCTCTGCCTTCGGGGTGTGGGCAGCGTGTCTGGGAGGTTACTCGTCCTTTACTCTTCCGACAAGCTGGGGAAAGGATCATTGCTGCCCCAGTGCAGGGAGGGAGTGCCAGGCGCTGTGGAGGGGGGTGCCTTTCCACATCACCTCTCCTGCCTGCACGTCCCTCTTAGCACCCACCTCCCAGAGCTCGCCCTGACCTTGGTCAGTCCTGACCTGATGCACCTGTGCTTCCAGGGGGTCTCAGACTCATCAGTCAGTTCAGTCGCTCAGTCGTGTCCGACTCTTTGCAACCCCATGAATCGCAGCACACCAGGCCTCCCTGTCCATCACCAACTCCCGGAGTCTACTCAGACTCATAGTTATTCACATTTCAGAAGCTGGGAGACCCTTTCCATCTGTCCGACAAACTCCCTGCTCAAAATCATCCTGTAGCCTTTCTGAGCTGTACCTTTCCCAGGGTGTTCCAATCTGGAGGGAGGGCGTCTTTGACAAGGCCGGGTCCACTGCCACAGCGGGGCCTCAGATGGCCAGGGACAGTGCCTTCCCGGTACAGGAGAGACCCAGGCGCTGAGCTGGGGCTGGAACCCTTGCCCTGAGTCCTTCCTGGGGATACACCTCCAAGTCCTGCAGCCTGGCCTGCCCTCGGGGCCTCGGGCTGCTGTGGCCAGAGTCACCAACGACCTCAGGTCATCCTACCCACAGGGTAACCAAGGCCCAGAGAAGCTGGGCTTAAACCTAAACTCCTTACCTCCCAGGCTAGAACACACCTCCATCCCACCCACTGGATCGCTCATCCCCGATTCTACAGGGGTCATCCCAGAATTACAGTATGCAACCCCCCAAGTTTCAGAGCAGTGATTTGTGGCTCCTGAAGCCCCACGTGGACATACTTAAGCCTATCTCAGTGGAGCTGGACGCAGCGAGAAATGAACCCTCAGGCCAGGGGTCCGCAGCCTGAAGCCAGTTCGTCACCCGTGTGTGCCACATCAGAGCCAAACATGCAGCCCCAGGTGGAGGACAGACCTCCTGGATGAGGACTTGGGGGATGAAGGTGACTTGGGATGGTAGGGACAGGAGGTAGAGGAATAAAAGTTTCCCCAGAAGCCCAGATCCCCAGAGCTTAAAAAAAAAAAAAAAGCCACATTGGGAGCTGAAGCCCAAAGCGGGCATGCTGCGGGGCTGTCCCCTGGTGGCTAAGCACACTTGTGCCCACTGACCACCTGTGTCTGCAGGTGGACATCATCACATCCTCTGACCTCCTCCTCCTCCAACAGGACAACGAAAACTGTCTAATAGAGATTCCACCCGTGAGAGCTCCCAGTTCAGTGTCTGGGAGTAACAGTGGTTAAAGAACTCGTCTTCCTCCTCCCCTTCCACAGGAGAGAGGTGCCGAATGACCGACCGGCAGGAAAGCAGAGGACCGAGCCGAGCCGGCTCTCCTGACCTCCAGCTCTGACTTTTCCCACTGCATCAGTCTCAGTAACTGGCTGTGTCCTGCGATGGATAACGAGGCACTTCCTCTGCCCTTTCCTCCCCAAGGCCTCCCAGGGTTCATCTGCCTCCGAGCATCCTGGGGGCAGAGCCCCACCCTGAGGCGGTCCAGATGCCTTTCTGGGGGCTGGTGAGTCTGGGAGAAAGTCAGACTGGGCTCTGGGGCTCCAGAGAATCAGGAGGCGGTGTCTCAGGGAAGATCCCAGTCACCACGACCACCACCATGAAGGAGACCACCAGCGTGATGTCTCATGGGATCCTCCCACTACTGGCTCTGTTTGCCTCGTTAAGAAAAAGGCTTAGTCGCTCAGTCGTGTCCGACTCTTTTTGACCCCATAGACGGTAGCCCTGCAGGCTACTCTGTCCAGGGAACTCTCCAGGCAAGAACACTGGAGTGGCTTGCCATTCCCTTCTCCAGGGGATCGAACCTGGGTCTGCTGCACTCAAGGGAGATTCTTTACCATCTGAGCTACCAAGGAAGCCCATTTGTCTCACTGCCTGCGTTTTTTGGCCTTTCTTCCCCAGCCCACCCACTGCATCCCATCCCGCAGCCTGTGAACCCCCGAGGCAGGGTCAATCCGTCTTGTTCCATTGTGTCCGAGAGCCCATGCCTGGCACACAGGAGGCTCCCAGCAATCAGGAGATTTTCACAGGTGAAGAAACCGAGACTATGAAGGGCAAGGCCCCGAGCTGGCCAGGAGTCAAGTCCCAGCAGAGACTCCCAGGGCTGGATTCGAACCCAGATGGGTCTTAACTCCCTTGCTGGCTATGAGGTCAGGCATGGGGCAGGGACTGCTCACCCTGGCCGAGCTGACGGTGGTGGAGGTGCCGTGGCTGTCTGTGGACGAGCCCGTGTCGCTATAGGAGACCGTGGAGTAGGTGTCCCCGCCTGCAGGACCCGGGGGCTGCCGTGCCTTCATGGACTCGATCTCCCGTCTCAGTACCAGGTGGTCGAAGCGGTCCAGGTCTTGGGGGGAGATGGTGCCTCTCACCTCGGAGAGGAGCGAGAACTGGAGACCGGGACAAGCCGGGCACTCGGCAGGGAGCTCCACCCGCAGGCGGGACAGCCCTCTGCCACCCCAAATGCAGGTGTGCGTGCTAAGTTGCTTTAGTCGTGTCCGACTCAATGGACTGTGGCCCACCAGGCTCCTCTGTCCATGGGATTCTCCAGGCATGAACACTGGAGTGGGTTGCCATGCCCTCCTCCAAAGGAGCTTCTCCACCCAGGGATCGAACCCACATCTCTTGCTACATTGGCAGGTGGGTTCTTTATCACTAACGCTACCTGGGAAACCCTTTCTGCCCCAAACAACCTTCATGCAAACTTGGCCACTGCCTTCCCCTCCTTAACCCTCCGAGGCTCCCCACTGTCCTAGGACAAATTCCAAACACCTAGATGCTGGGACCAGCATCATCGACCCCTGCTCCCCACTCACTTTTTCTTCCCTAACATCTCACCCTTCACGTCCAGCTCCAAGTCCCTAAACAGAAAGCCCTTGGCTGTCCCTTCTCCCTTCTCCCTCCTTCTCTCCAAACTGACTTCCCTCTGTTAGGTCTTCCCAAAGGTAACCACTCCCAGTGGATTTAATCACTTCTTCCTTGGTGCAGCTTTTGAACCTCAAACAGGCTTTTCCACTAGAGCAGCGTTCTCAAAGAGGGTAGCACGGTTTGGTCACTTGGGGTCTTGTGAAACATGTGGAGTTAGCCAGCCTGGGGTGTGGCCCAGGGAATTGCTTTTTAAGAGCTATCCAGATGATTCTAAATGTACACCCAGCATAAAAAGCTGCTACATTGGGACCCCAAGTACAAGGAACGTGGACTATTCCCTTCAGAGTCTGAAGGCTTCGGGGGTAGGGGTGGGGGCTGTCTCAGTCACCAGTCTCTGCCCAGGCTTCAGTTTGGGTCTGACTCCTTGTGGGTTCTCAGTAAAGAAGTGGGGTTCAGAGGGAGGCAGGGAAGGATGCAGAACCCCCGAGAGCTGAAGCCAGGCCCCTCCAGCCCCGCCTTGCCCGAGGAGGCGCGGGTCACCTTGGCATGGGTGTTGAGCAGCTCGAACAGGGCCATGACTAGGGCCTCCACGGACACGCTGCCACCGCGGTACTCCTCCAGGTAGTAGGCCAGGGTGGCACGCTCCTGCTCGGTCAGCAGGTGCCGCGCCTGCTCCTCCAGCAGCACCCGCGTCTGGTTCCCCAGGCTGCTCAGGGTCACCTGGGAGCCGGCTGGCCCCTTGTAAAACCCCAGCTGAAAGACAGCGAGACAGAGGCCCCGGGGGTGCAGGTCTGCTCTAGAAGCCGAGCCAGCTACCACCCTGCAGACCGGTGGGGTGGGTCCCTCTGAGGTCTCTGGCCACAGGTAAAGCCGCAGGTGTTCCCGGACGTTCTCAGGGCACTGGGTCTCCTGCAGCTGCAAAGCGCTTTTCTGGCTCACATGGCACTTTCACACGTGTTGTCTCATCAGAGCCCCCTTAGCATTCAGGGTCAAGCAGTATTGTTACGGTTCCCATTTTACTGGTCAGGTTGCCATCTCTCCTCTCTGAGTACATTGGGGATAACAGTAACGCTATTTCTGAAACGTGGCTCAGACCTGCACACACCCACACCTCCCAGCATGGCCTCCACCACCATCAACCGTGTCTAGGAGGCCACCCGGTCTCCCTGCTTGTCCCCGCTGCCTCTCCCTGTCGCCTACACATCTGCTGAATTGACCTATTGATCTATTGATCTATGAAAGCATAGATCTCACGTTGCCCCCCTGGTGAAGCCCTTCAATGGCACCCCATCGTTTCAGCTTAGCAGACAAACCTCTTCCACGGCTAAGTCCTGTGGGATCTAACGATCCCACCCACAAGCCACACGTGGCGCCTGCCCCAGGACCCTGGCACCTGCTGTGCCTTCTGACTGCATCCTCCCCTTCCAGCTCCTGCCCAGACTCTGATCTCACTAACCTTCACTTCATGTTCAACTTACAGCCCAGACGCTGAGCTGCCATGTTACAGAGCCTTCGCCCTCTCCCGCTGCCCTCCCTGCCCCTAAACATCTGCCATTCTCTCTCCTAAGACCTAGCACCTTTCCTGGAAGGCACTGAACATCTTTGATGATGAGATGTGCATGCAGGTTTGCTTTGCTTTGATGTGTGTCTCCTTTATTGCGTGTAACCCCCACCAGGGTGGGGACCTGATTTGTGCTGTTCGTGCCGCTAACTCCGGGGTCCAGGGTGGTGCCTGGAACCTGGCGACCTGGAACCTTCCCACGTGTGTGGGAAAGAAGTCTACGCAGGCAGTCGGTCGGCTGCCCACCCTGCTGGGCCCAGAGCTCCCCACTCGGGAACCAGTGAAGAAGTCAAAGATACCCGCAGACAGAGAGCAGCCTACCTTGTTGGTCCCTTCTGCTGTGAGATCCCCGGGAAACCTACGAAGAAAGAGAAGCACATTCAGCCTGATGTCTGAGCAGTTCAGTCACAGGCCAGGGAATGGCTGCTTTGCAACGAGAGGAAGGAAGTTTTGGGAGAACCACGGGCTGCGCTCACTGGGGCCACTCCAGGGAATATCAGGCCCGGGACAGATGGGCAGTTTCTGAACTCCTGCCCAACCATGTGGATGGTACTTCTAAAACCAGGCAAGGTGGTCTGCTGTTTCATGTCCTATAGGGCCTGTCAGGTAACACGCAGAGAAGAGACTAAATAATAACTGCCATGTGGACTCGGGGTCAGGCCAGTCTAGGGAGGGTGAGGACAGCGTCAACTGCAGATGTTAAGAAACAACTTGTGGGTACAGCTGTCTTCCAGTCTGTTTCCATTTTTTAAAAAATGTGGTCTCAAGCTTCCAGAATCCCTGATTTTCAAGAAGCAGCCAGAAATCCAGGCGTCCCACACCCCCCACCCCGCCCCCATGGGAAAAGTGTCTTTTTAAATGTTGGTAACTAATTTTTTAAAATTATTGTACTGGGAAGGTGAAAGGAAGAAAGGAAGGAGGGGATGAAAAAAGGGAGAAATAGATGCTCTGGGTGTGTTTGGCTTTGGGGCTACTGGCTGGTTTGAGACTTCAAATGGAAATCCAAAGATGACACATTATTAGCAGCTATGCAGCCACCTGCCAACTATATCTCACGTTATGACTCCCAAGACCCCCCTTTCATGCAAGTCACTCATAGGATCCTCTTTCACACATCTGGAATGGGGGCTGCAGTTAGGAGTCCCACTTTTCAGACAAAGCAACTAAGGGCCAAAAAGGAAGTTACGAGATTTGCTAAACGGCAAGTACAGAGCGAGAGGACTGGATGCCGCGGCTCAGCTTTCCAAGGAAAACTGAGGCCAGAAGAGCAAAGGGGATGTGCCCACGGTCAGGCCCCGCACACGGGAGGGACCCTGGGGTGGGACTTCAGGCTCAGGGAACCGGGGCAGCTTCACAGATCGGGGCACAGAGCATGTGCAGGGATGGAAGGGGCTGTTACTGGCTTTCAGGAACGGCCCTGAGGGCCCTGGGGGTCCTGGGGCTCAGATGAGAGAGCAGCTCGGCCGCACCCTGGGCAGCTGGCGGCAGCGTCCCCGATCCGGGAACTGGCGATCCACTTGGTCTCATCCACGGTGGTGCGGGCGTGGGGCAGCCGCCCGACGTCCTTCACGGTCAGGATGAGATGCTGGGATGACTTGAGCAGCCTGACCGCCTCATCGTGCAGGATGTTGAGAAAGCTCCGCCCATTCACCTCCAGAATCTGGTCCCCGACCTGCCAAGACCACCACACAACACAGTCACCTGGGCTGTCTGCAGGACACTGACTCATGTCAGGGGCTCTTCAGAGCCCAGATCCCAATTTTCCTCCTGGATAGCCGAGGAAGGAGGTCACTGAGGCTCAGAGAGGTTCTGTGGGTGCTTGAGGGTCACACAGCAAGAGACTCAAAGAGGTTACATGAATGCCTGAGGGTCACACAGCAAATCAATGGCAAAACCAACCATCCAATCCGGATCCTTAGCCCATGACCCTGTCACTAGAAAGGGCCACCTCCCTCAACCGAACAAGGGCTTTGAGGGGTGGGTCTGTGAAGTTCCCGAGGGTCTCCTTATCTAGAAAACAAAAGCCATTTCAGAGGCCTGGATGCAGGTGAAATTGGGGGAAAGATGAGATGTGAAGGCACTGTTCCATTAATTTTCCTGTTATACTTCTACATCATTACGTTTGTTACCTTAAGCATGTACTCTTACATTGCCTTAGTGTAAACATCATTATCAATAAATAAGAAAACTAGCCTACTGATAAAGGAATAATATATTGCTGGGATTTTCAGGACAAGAAGGTGATTTTACTTGGTAATGGAAGAATGTATTTTTTAATGAAAGGATAAAAAAATAGAAGAAGAAAAAACTAGCCTTCCAATAAACATAAATATGTCACAAGACCAGAAGGGGTTGCCCAGGAAGCTGCTGCAGGGTCAGCTGGGGTACTTTTAAACTCAGAGGGTTTGGTGCTTTTTCTACATTCATTGATGGGTGACCAGAGGGGGCTGCCCAGGGTCACAGCCCACTGTGGTCTTGAAGGGCAGCCCTATAACACCAATTATTTCTGGCCCCTCTTCCTTCTTCCCGGCATCCGTGTATGCTGATGGCACATGGTCACCCCTAGGGGTGTTTTCCAGAGCTTTTTAAAGCAGGGTTTGGAAAAGGTGAGCCAAACATGGATTTGGAAGAAAAAGAGAGGAAAAGAAGATGTGGTAATGAGCCCGAGAACCAAAACCCTGGTCCCCAGTTTCCTGTCTTTTCTTTAACCTCTCACCTGCAACCAGAGAGTTTCCAGAATAGAAAGTGGTTATAAATTCAGTCTTTCTGTCTCCCCTCTGCTCCAGTGTTGATGTGTTCAGAGAAGGCCCATGGCATCTTTGCCTCCGCGACCCCATCCAATGTTTCCCGCACACCTTCTGTGCGCCAGGCTCTGCGCTGGGACACGGAGCCAAAGAAAGACAGAGTGCTTCCCGCTCTCGGCTGCTCAGCGGGCTCCACCTCGGGCTATGAGTGAGTTTTCCCTTCAGCCTCTCCACACCTTGTCTCCAAGGCCCAGCACACAGTGGGAATTCAATAAAAATTAATCCAATGAATAAGAGTCAGACACCAGTCCTCCCCCCAGTCCTAGCTCCAGGACCATTTCTGCTGCAGCTCAGGGGGGCCCAACACATGACACCAGCCTGGAGCCCCAAATTTCAAGCCACTTCTGACCAGATGCTGACTGTCTGCCAAGCACCTTGTCTGTCCCTTTAGTTTTCCCTATTTAATATCCTCCGCATTCTGCCAAGTAGGGATCATTTGCTCTGCATCTGACCAGAGAAAAGATGGAGACTCAGAGAGGTTAATTAAACAGTTTGTGGTTACAGAGGCTAGTGAAGAGGACAGCGGGAGTGTAAACCCAAGTCAGGCTCCAAGGTCCTAACGCCGCCTGCTACTGGGCTGCTGTCTGGTTTCAAATCCAGCGTGCTCAGAGCCCCATCCTGCTGTTTCTCCCTAGCCCTGCCTGTAGCAACCAGCTCTGAAAATCCACCCTCATCATCAACTCTGCCTTTGTCCCCCTGATGCCAGAGACCCGGGTTTGATCCCTGGGATAGGAAGATCCCCAATGGCAACCCCCTCCAGTATTCTTGCCTGGAGAATTCCATGGACTGAGAACGTCGGCAAGCTACAGTTCATGGGATTGCAAAGAGACGGACATGACTGAGCAACTAACACACACACACACACACACTCACTCTCTCTCTCCAGGAAGTCTCACCTTCCTCCCCCTCCATCGGCTCCCTAACTTTCGTCCCCACCTGCTCACTCCTGGGGTCCTGGGCTGGCATTCTCCTCCCTGCATTAACTTCTAAACTGGCCGCAGACCTGGCCCCAGGTAAACGTTCCCTCAGCTTTTTGCTTGTGTATTCCTCCCGGATTAAAAACCTCAATAACCCCTACAACCCTGCAGGCAACATAACCCTATGGTTGAAGGTTTCAAAGACCATCAGACTTGGGTAGACACTCTGGCTTTGCTACTTTCATGCCACATGAACTCAAGCAAATCCCCCAATAAACTTTGCTTTTAATTGATTAAAAGAACACATTCATTTTATTAAGGTATTTTTCTGTTACTTTAGGAGAGAAAAAAAAAAAGCTTTCAAATAGAGGCCTGGTTTCAAAATTCATTGTTTTGGGTTTTATTTCACGCTATTTCAGTCCTGCGTCTTGGGAATAAATCTATAGCAAAACCTCAGAAGATCTATTACCTCCCATGAAGGCAGGAAAAAAAAGTAAAACTGTAGGTCAGGTTCCAGAGGAGTCTGGGTTACATCAGCTTATTATTAGAGGCCTATTTAAATTTTTCTCAGGAAATTACTTCCCAAATTACATGTAGGAGCACATTTTCCACTGTTGTTAAGAACCGGGGGCAAAAATCCATTAAACTTTTGTCCCTTAGTTTTCTTGCATATAAAAAGGGAATCCTAGCCCAGGATTGCCCTCCATATTTCTATAGTCATCAGCGTCACCGGTCATCAGCATTGCTTTTCAATGCCACCAGCAATATCCACAGTTTTCTCTCTCTTTCCATATCTTTGAGCTCCCCAGTTGAAAAATCCCTGGGAACTTGTGTGTGCTAAGTCACTTCAGTCGTGTCTGGCTCTTTGCAACCCCATGGACTGCAGCCTGCCAGGCTCCTCTGTCTATGGACTTCTCCAGGTAAGAATACTGCAGTGGGTTGCCATTTCCTACTTCAGGGGATCTTCCCAAGCCAGGGATTGAACCAGTGCCTCTTACACCTTCTGTTGGCAGGTTCTTTACCACTAGCGCCTCCTGGGAAGCTTAGGTAGCCTCAGTTGGACTCCTTGTAAAGAACTTAAGGGAAGACCCGATGTCTGATTTGAGGCTTGGCGCACAGTAAGGGCTCAATAAGTGCTTATTCACAGGAGGTGTGGATTTTGCCTCTTCCCACTGTGCCTCTCTCCCAGCTGGTGTTCCCCGATGCTGAGAAGCAAAGCTGTGTTAAAGAAGGCCTTCTCAGGCAGGCACTAGGGCCTTACTGAGAGCGGAGTGCGATGCCAGCCCGCTCCGGCCCGCTGTTCTGGGTCCTCGCGCTTTCCCTGAGTAGCGGCAGTACCTCTCCCCTCTGCCCCCAGCTCTGAGCTGGAGTCAGGCTGTACTCTTCATCCGCTGAAGTGTGCTGTTTGCTTAAGCATCCCTCTCAACAGCTCTGGCCTTTGTTAAGCTAAGGGAATCAATTTTAATCTTTCCCACACACTTTATTTCATCTCAGCAGTTTAATTAAAGGAAGTAACATCTGAGAAACCAGATAAGTGTGAGCATCCTTTGTGAGCAAGCCCCTCCCTACAGGTCCAGGCCCGGTGGGGGGTGGGGGCAAACAACTCAATTCCACAAACAGCTACCTGGCCCTTTACAGTGAGGAATGTCCCAGATATTGCATGGGACTTATGTACACTAAATCAAGTATTCGTTGTTTAACCGGAACTCAGATCTACATAGTGGCATGTGTTTTTATTAGCTAAATCTGGCAACGCTGGGTTGGGGGTATCAGTCTCCTCTGGAGGCAATGCTTCTTGGTGGGGGCGGAGGTGAGCCGATTTAGTGCTATGGTTTCCAAACTTCAGTTTTCTTCCCTAGCCCTGAGCCGGGCACCTGTCATTTGTTCAGTCCTGTGAATCACTTGTGGACAGTTACTGCAGCTTCCTAAGAATTAATATCCGGCAAATCAAAGGTCTGCTGTGCTAAGCACATGCCTGTTGAATAAATCCCTACCAAGTCTGTGCGTCAGCGTGGGGATCGTGTACAATCCACCGGGGAACAGACGTGACGCAGGAGTCACTCTCGGGAAACCCCGACTTAATAGGGGTACATGAGTCTGTCCTTTCCATCTCTTTCCTCTCCTCTCCTTTCTTCCTCCTCAGTGAGTGAAAGTCACTCAGTCGTGTCTGACTCTTTGCAACCCCATAGAATAATCCATGGAATTCTCCAGGCCAGAATACTGGAGTGGGGTGCCTTGCCCTCTTCCAGGGGGATCTTCCCAACCGAGTGATCCAGCCCCAGGTCTCCAACATTGCAGGCAGATTCTTTACCATCTGAGTCACCAAACCAAAGCTCTAGATGGGGCTGTCTCCAGACAGCCCTTCGCGGCATCTGGGTTGCCGGGCATCCGTTTCTGTGACCAGCTCTCTCTTGTTCCTTCGTGTTGGAAAGCTTCCGAAGGCCTGCGAGCCCTGTCAGAAGAGGCATCTGCATGTTCAATGCCATTTAAAGCTCACCAGCCACTTTCAAATAAATCCAGCGTCTCCCCTGTTGATCCCAGCAGCCCCAGGCCAGCAGGCTCTGGAGTCTTGTCCCTGCGGTGCAGCCGAAAGATATCCATCGTCCTGAAGCCAGGCGGCCAGGACACAGGGGCCGTGTGGCCCTGCACAGCTCAAGCACACTCTGAGACTGTCTCCTGCTCCGTACAAGGCACACGAGACTGCTCGCAATCCCCAGGTCACTGAGGAGCAAGTGGGGCCCCTCGGCACAGGGCCTGACACGAGACAGGCTTTCGAGAGCTTTTCATTCGCTTTCTTTCCAAACGGCAGGGACAGGTCGACATGTCAGCTGGCTCAAGGTCACCGTCCCATGTGAAGAGTGAGCCAGCCTTTGAGCCCAGCCTCTCTCGAATTCTCCCTCAACCCCGAGGCACTTTAATCCCCGCGCAGTGTCTGGCACACAGGAGATGCT